GTCCAGTGCTTAGAGCCAAAATCACTACAGGTCGTCGTCGTACGTCGTCGTTATACTCGCGATCATTGACTCCTGTGCTTACATGCATCCAAAACCAGAATCAGGTAGATATAGGAAAAATCGAAACGATATGATTATTATCGATGTGACGTAGATATTAATTAGCTAGTCCGCGTGATGCATATCTATCTATATGTATGATCGACTTGATACAGATTGTCTAACTTTAATAGTAGTACCGAAGGTAAAGTCGCAATCCATATATATATATCCATGCATGCTACAATTAACTACTGTCTGTTGGCCAGCTGGGCTATTGGCCACAGCAATCTTCTTCTTCATCTTTCTTACGCCTAAATTATCTTAGGCCGAGTTTACTTCCAAACTTTTTCTTCAAACTTTCAATTTTTCTATCATATTAAAATTTTCCTATCCACAAACTTCCAACTTTTCCAACACATCATTTCAATTTCAATCAAACTTCCAATTTCAATCAAATTTCTCCGCTCCTGTTGAGCCGGCGACGTTGTGAGGCTGCCGTGTGATCTGCCCAAGAAGTCGATAGGACCATTCACTGCTCACCGATCGGAACCGGCAGTGTTGTTCTAACACTGCCGGTTCACAGTGAACCTATGAACTGACAGTGAAACATGTTTTATTGTGGTAATAGTAGTAGTAGATGTGTTAGATTGTTAATTGCAGTTGGTTCCAACCTCAAATTTCTTATTCAACCTCCTTTCCTAACCTACCTGTTGCTGACTTTGCTGGGGTAAATGGATCAATATACGGTGAAAGCTTGTGTAAAAAAATGTCGTTGGATTTTTTTTAGAAGAAATAAATTCTTACTGAATATAAGATCATGATGTGGACATATATTTGTGATATTTAGAAATAATAAATTTCAAATAAATGATATGAATATGTATGGACATATATGTACCTGAATGTTCCGTTTTGATCACTCGTGTAATCTTCATATTGCATACAAATATGATAGTATCTAAAAAACTGCCGCAATTTTTGAGTGAAAAACTTTCATATATAAGTATACTATAATTGAAATATAATTACATTGTAACTACAATGTTACTATACTGTAACTACAATATAACTACACTGTAACTATGATATAACTTATATAAAACTTATATTTAACTATGGTTTGGTTGGTTAGCATCGGGATCTTACACGTGATATGTGTGAAATTTTCTTTGTAACAATTTTTCCCTTCATGCACAGATCTTGAGGCAATCTAATGACTACAAATCTAAATGTTTTAGGGAAAAAAAACTTACGGAAGTTTTTTAGCAATTCTGAAAAAGTAGTTAGATCTATGATCAAAACAAATAACTAAACCTATTATACTATGCGAATGGTACAAAAACCCAAATGTTTTCTGAAGTTGTTCAATATCTTAGTTAGTTGCCGCAAACGTGCAAGCTCATCTGTGTGTGGGCTTGCAATTGCCCCATCTATGCAGCCCGTCCATGTGGCTACATACAACCAGGTTGCTAGAGCACCGACATTGACTCCACATGGGCCTAAACCTTAGAAAGCTCGGACTCCATGTGGCTGTCAGCCTATCGCCTGAAGAAGGGGAGAGAGGGAGTTAAGAGGGGATGAGAGAAAGGACATGACACATGTGTCGTACCTTATTTTTTCCGCCGAGAGATTTGCATGTGGGGCTCACTTATTTTCAATTTCTCTTACCTTTCTATCGACTGTAATACTACGTAGATGCCACGTGCTCCCAATGTAAGATGAAAATAAAGTCAACGTAGCAAATAGGCATCACGTAGAACGACAAGTATCACCATCCAAACCACTTAGAGAGATAAAATGAGCCGGTTTTGAGAGATGAAAATTATATTAGGGCCTGTTTGGGGGAACTTAAGATTCTGAGAGGCAGCTGGTTGTAGCCAGCTTATGAGAATCTAGAAAAGCTAGGTTTTCCAGCTTCTGGCTTCTAGTTCTTTTTCTGGATTCTAGAACTATAGCTTCTGAGAATCTGGATTAAAAGCTATACTGTTTGTGAGAGCTTCTGGTTTTGAGAGAAGCTGCAGCAGCTGAAGCTCCCCAAACTGGCCCTTAGATTCGAATCATATTTGATGGAGTCCACATGGAGACTCTTCTCTTTTCTTGTAACCGTACGCGCACGGCATGGTTGAGGGTGGCCAGCCCGAGAGGCCTACTTCGAGCGGAGGCAGCACCCAGGCCGGCCCAGGAAAATGAGGGGAGAATCGAGCAGGCAGTGGCCTGTGGCTCTTGCAGGGTTGGTGCGGGCTGGCCCAAAACGTGAGAGTGAGACACAGAAAGAACAGAAGTGTACGTATATGCATGCATGTTTTCACAGCATTCTGGGATAAGGTTTGAGGGGAACTTCGAACATCTGATTTGACATTTGAATACTCATTCAACGATATCTGAAGTCGAATTTGGATATTTTATCACAATCTGATTAACAAATTTGGGAATCGTTGGCAAAGTAAACATAACTCAACTGGTAGGATTTTTTGTGGTGAAACCAGCAACCCACATGGATTCAAGTCGTGTGCTCCTATTTATAGCTAGTTATTCCTTTAGTGCTAAGCAATGTATCCGTCAATAGCATGGTATCAGTGGTGACTTCGTCATCTCAATATATACCGGTCCAGTTTTTTGGAGGTAATCATAGAGGTTGGGTTTACGTGTGTGTTTTGAGAGTTCAGTGTGCACGTGTTGTGAGCGTCTATATGATTATATTATGTTTCTAAAAAAGTTTATGAATCGTTAAGTGGAAATCAAATCTGACAAACTCTAACAAAGACTTTGTCGTTGGCCACCAAGGGCCGCTGTGTAGGCCCATTTCCGCAAGCACCTGGACTTACTCATGTGCATCTGCGGAAATGCACACATTTTTCCTGGGGAACAGTAATACCAGCCGTATGTGGAAATTATGTATATATTTTTATAGTTGGAGCTTTAAGTCAACCACCTAGAAAAATATTCTCAAAGGCAGCTTTTTATCTATAGAAATCTCCACCTATATATAAGAGCATGTACAAAGATAGAGTCTAATATAAACTCTCTATATTAATTAATGTTACTGGAAACTATCCTCCTAAAATAGTAGAGACAATAAAATTTCTAAACCATTAATGCATAAATATTTTTTATTATACTTCTTTCCTTTTTTCTCCACCCTCGTACAACAAACTTTCCGTTAATAAATACTAAGAGTCGACTCTGAGCCGTTGTCATACATAGTAACGATGTTTCTCCTTCCTTCATTCTCTTTCTTCCACTTCACCAAATTTACTTGCATGACAACGAAACAAACAGAGCCCGTTATTAGACATCATTGTACATGCCCTGTATATCCTTCCTCGAGCTAGCCATTTCAGACCGACCTTTCGGCGCAGATAAAAAGGAAAATAGAGGGGCGGGGCGGGGTGGGGGGGGGGTGTTTCACCTTGACTTGAGGTCTTTACTCCTATATAGGGGTAGTTTAACATGTAGGTCAATTTCTACATATATTTTTGGAGAGAGGAGGGAGATTTAGGCCATTTTTTTAATCTAGCTTATTTCTTCATGTTATTCATATATACCAACACATAACGTTTTGAATTTAGATTTATTTTGTTGTATTAGGTCGGAGCCTGTGGAAATGCGTCTTTATAGTTGTAAGCAGGGCACCCTGCCTGCAAAAAAAAAAAGTTCCGTAGTAAGTGATAACCAAATTATTACACGTTCTCATATTTTTAATAATGGTGTATAATAGTCTATCTTTCTACTTAATTATATGGTGCATCTTTCTACTTATATGAAGCGTCATATATGAATAAGGTGGTGTTTGGATCTCGGGACTAAATTTTAGTTACTGTCACATCGGATGTTTGGACACTAACTATAAGTATTAAACGTAGACTAATAATAAAACTAATTACATAAATGAGAGTTAATTTGCGAGACAAATTTTTTAAGCCTAATTAATACATAATTAGCACATGTTTATTGTAACATCATATAATCTAATTATGGATTAATTAGAATTAATAGATTTGTCTTGCGAATTAGTTCAGGGCTTTAGAATGGGTTTTATCACATTAGTCTACGTTTGATACTTCTAATTAGTGTCAAACATTCGACGTGACAGGGACTAAAATTTTGTACCTGATCCAACCAGACCCTAAAAGGAGGAAGTATAAATTAACCAGCTACCTACTTGGTATATATTGTTCCTTTTTCCAGCCTCTATTCCTGGTTCATCGTACAACTTAATTTTCTTACAACAAGGATCGACGTGCTTCCTTTTCTTTTCTGAAATCGGTTAGATAGAAGTGGACATAAAGGTTCTATGCTAAAAAGAGAAGCCTAAAGGATATGCACTACTAAGACAAGATTTAAACAAAGTAAATATATAGTATAGTGCCATTCCGGCCCATGGTGCATGACAGAACATAATATCACGCAAAGTCTATAAAAAGAACATCATGCCGAAGATAAACGTCCAAATTATTTTTTTTATTTGCTTATACTTAATATGTTATACTAAGAGTTGAATCGGTTGTTTGTTTGCATTATGAAGTATATATTTTATATATGCTTAAGATTTGTCAAAAAATGCATACTGTATCTTACTATCTTATAATTTAACCATGGTTGTATATATCTTGCTGAGTATTTTGGAAATTTCGGTTTTGCCGAAATGGCTGAAATTTTCGTCGAAATCGAAATTGAAATCCATGCTTGGAGGTAAGCACAATTAGGGTTAGCTCCATATATTTTGGTGTGTTAGTCAATCTATACCGCTGTAGATCTGTTGGACGAAAAATTCAGCCAAGGTACAAACTAAAGGATTTTCTTGCAAAAGATATATAAGGCAGTACGTACGACCCCTACTCAAAGCCATATAAAGCTCTCCAATTATATATTTCGCTTTAAAGTTATCTGCTTGCACTTTACCTTTGCTTCCATGTTTTGAAAGGTGCACACTGCAGATGGGTGCTCATCTAGTGGAAACAAACTGTTGCCGAGAAAGGGTCTGGAGATATGCAATGCACGGTTCTGAAACCATAGATATAAATATACGTGTAATGTGTTAAGTTTGCTGCATTAATTCCAGACAATGAAACACATATGCTACTCGAAGGAAACATGACTGATTAACGGTACGTATGGGGGAGCCAACAGGTATGCACAAATATTCTATATTGATTTGTCCTTTTTCGTTTAGTTTGGCACATATATATTACTGTCTCTAGCACTCGTTTATTTATGGATTACCTTAAATTTTCTCACCTCCATCACATTCAAATTAATGAATTTCTGTGCTAGATGGCCAAAACAAATTCTGCGTACATGTGGTATGCAATTTTATGAGTTTTACTTACTGCATCTATATATGCAGGTTTTTCTTCGTATTTAACTTACTTTCATAAAAAAAATAACAATCTTGAATTGGTGAAACGGCCGAATGATTTCATGTGCTGCCACACTAATATATCAGTTGTCATTTGAATAACAAATTCTGAATGTTTCACCCTATGCATGATACATGCAATTAATTAACCAAGAAAATTTTCAGGGAGCTGCAGTATAGACATCCAACGTCTCGCCGCCGATCTCGAGACAAAGCTATGCAATGTGGATTTGGACGGCGGCCGGCGATGGCGCCGCTCGCCGGAGTGCCTCATTTCCAAGGTGAAGCCGCAGGTCCGCCGCGTCGACGACTCGCAGTACACCCCGCAGGTGGTGCTCGTCGGCGCCTACCACCACAAACCGCTGGACAGCACGGACCAGCTGGCGAAGTGGACGGCACTCCGCCGTGTCCTCCCCGACGACGGCGAGCAGCGGGCGTCCACGCTGAGGCGGTGCCTGGAGGCAATCGCCGGCGTTGAGGACGAAGCGAGGAGCTACTACGAAGACGGCGCCAAGACATGGAGGGAGAATCAGATGTTCGTGCAGATGCTGTTGCTCGACGCGTGGTTCGTCCTCGACATCTTCAACGTCGGCGGCGAGGCGGCTGCGGCGGTGGGTAGCCGCGGCGGGAGCGCGGTGGACTACATCTTCGCCGTGCGCGACGTGTTCTACCTGCTCGAGAACCAGATACCCTTCTTCATCCTCGAGAAGGTCTACGAGCTGGTGCGTGTCGGAAATTCCGGCCAGGATCAAGATCAACGCACGCAAACGTGTACTTCTCCTCCGCCTCCTCAGCCTCCGGGAGCTACAGCCATCGCCGGCGGCGGCCCGTCGTCCTCCTCCACCGTTGTTGTGGATGGATTCTTGCGCCATCTCCGGTCGCTGCTCCAGGACCAGGGCTACTCGAATGTGGAGGTGGACATCACCAGCACACGCCCCTGTCACCTCGTCCACTTACTCCACATGCACTTCACACCCATGGCGATGTCGCCGGCCGACGACACCGACGACGCTGCCGCTGTCCCCAACAGGCGCGCGCGCGCCACCGTTTACCGGTGGCGCGGGGCGACGCAGTACCACGCCGCCGGCGTGAGGTTCAAGAAACGGGCCCTCGGCGCCGCCGCCGGCGACGCGCGGTGCGTCCTCGACGTGGAGCTCCGGCGGCTGACGACGCTGCACGTCCCGACGCTGACGGTGGACAACAACACGTGGCGGGTCCTGCGCAACCTGATGGCGCTGGAGCAGAACAACCCACACCTGGGCAGCCACGTCACGGCCTACTGCCTCTTCGTGTCGCAGCTAGCCGGCACGGCGAGCGACGTCGCGCTCCTGGCGAGGAAAGGCGTGGTCGTGCACTTCATGGCCACCGACGAGGACGTCGCCGACGGGTTCGCCGGCCTGTGCAGGGGCGTGGCGCTCGACGTCGACGACGCGCGCCGGAACTACCTGCAGCCGACGTGGGAGAGGATGGAGCGGTGGTACAGCAGCCGGCCGGTCAACTGGATGGCGCTGCTGCGGCGGCGGCATTTGAGCAACCCGCTGGTGGCGATCGCGCTGCTCGCCGCCATTACTGGCCTAGTCTGTGAAGTTGTGCAGGCCGTATATGCGGTCAAGACCTACAGGCCTACAATCTAGCTAGGCCACTGTGCCATATGCCTACCAACTTTGCGTAGCCTATCAAGTAACAAGTATGACTCTGTTGATTTTTCGACGTTTTATTCAAAATTTTTGTGCAAATATAAAAATATTTATGTCATGCTTAAAGAACATTTGATGACGAATCAAGTCACAATAAAATAAATGATAATTGCTTAAATTTTTTAAATAAGACTAATGGTCAAACGTTGGAAAAAAGTCAACGGCGTCATACATTAAAATATGAAGATAGTAGTATATTATTAACTATTCTCTCCGTCTCATATTAAAAATAAGACCATTTGATTTTTTCTTTCTCAAACTTTTCAAAATTTAACTAAGTTTATACATAAATGAAGAAACTCTTATAACACCTAATTATTTTCACTGTCATAATTTTTATAAATTTAACCGCACTTAAGAAATAGACTAGAAAAAAAAAGTCAAAAAGTCTTGTACACTAGTGAAAAATGATTTTCCTGAACGAGCACCACAGTAGGTTGCTAACGGAAAATAAGTGTCTGCATTTGCTAAAATCGATTCCTATTTTCGCATACGGTTATGTTGACGAAAAATCCATGTGCGGCTTATGGTGCTAAATCTTTGTTGACGCGAAATATGTCGGCAAACACAATGGCCTAGGAGATCTGCTTAGTTCCAGTGCAATTCCTAAATTTTGATGAGATGTTGGTGTCCTAGCTAGCTAGTTTGATCCTGCAACTGATAAGATAGATAAATTGACGATGATAGAGTCAATCAGCCAACAAGCCGATTTAGGGATATTAACTGATGTCGATAGGGTTTTAAATGTCCGATATAGATTTTGACACTTGGATAAATAATGATATAAAGGCAATCGGACAAGCAGTGAGAACTTGTAATAATACAACAATATAATCTAATAGAAACCAATCATCCAATAGCGGTATGATAAAATAAATGTTGATCTGATGGTTAAAGTATATATCGTCTGGGAATCCAATGTCATTAAATCCAAATTATCAAGTAATAAATGAAACCTTTGTTGTAATCAACTAAAACCAACTTGTATATAATCCTTATAAGTCGATGCAACATTAAGATAAATCATCGGCTAAAACCTCGATGCATGAAACAATGATTGATGCCTACTGACTTGAATAAATCTAATTTACAACCACAACCCTATAGGTCGAACTCAATCGATGCAGCATAAGGTTGATAATTACCTAATGGATTTAAGCAAGCTGATATGACACCGTTCAGAGTGGTCAAGCATTAAATTTAACAAAACAGTAAAACCATCAAAGAGGAATTTAGCACCTCGTATAACCCTCCGATGAAACATTAGCATGAACCTATATATCGACTTAACAAGACTTGATTTATCAATAATAATAATATAGTAGGTCGAATCTAACCGATGCAGCACGAGATTGTATAAAATAATCTAATACTCAATGATCCGATAATTCTGTCTAATGTGATGGATACAATAAATATATTTAAAACAACATTGTGATTGTAGAGATATATCGGCTAAGACAGAAGATCAGACCTAACCGAGGCAGTCCCAACTAAACCGTTGCGTCTCTAAACACAATGAAATTAAAGAGAGAATTGATCAGGTAGGCAAAATATACCAATCGAACTATAGCAATATACAAGAGATCAAAGCAAAGCAGCCTTGAACAACATCAATGTAGCTGTTAAATTGCCAGGGCCGTCAGAACTTATGGTTTACCCATTCGCCAGAGATCGAAGCCGATGTAGCCCCGCGTCAAAGTGCCAAGTTCCGCCGGTCATAAAATTCTCAAAAAACAAGGTGGCGATGCGCCGAGAGTAGTTGTATTAATCGAGAGATAGATTACAAACACCCCGAGTGTATATATTTATACCCTTGGGATGTTACTTGTCCTTATCGAACATGGTACATGTTTCCTAAAGATAAAAAAGGAAGATTCAGGTCTTGATCGGACAGTAGACAGATACTTGCTAAAGGTAAAAGGAAAATTAGTAAATCCTGCCTAATTAATAGATAGAATTAAACTAACAAGTCGTGGTCTTCATGATTCCTTATTGAACTTGATATTTTCTAGATAAACTACCTTCGGTGGATTGATCTCTTTCCTTGACTAAATCTATTAATAAACTTACCAAAATTTTCCGTTAACATGATCCTTCAGAGGACCGCCTACAAATTTATATTTTTGCAGGCGACCCCCGGAACAGATCTGCATGCGGTAATAAGCATATTTTTGCGTGCGGGTGTAAGTGCCCAACGTACAAAAATCCTCCTGTTCTCACTCTTTCAACATTTTTTATTAATTCTCCGCTCCTCTCTCTCTCACTCCCACTCATCTCCCCCACTCCTCTCCTCTCCCGGCCAACTTGTGACATCCCGGCCTAGGGCTATGAGGGGACCCAGAGTGGTCACACATGGATGCACGGATGTGGCTATGAGGGGATGTTCCTGGCCTGGGGTTGACCAATGAGGACATCGGTGTCTTAAGAGGTGAGGATTGTGACATCCTGACCTAGGGCTTAATAGGATTAATAGAATACTCATATCTACAAGTTGCAACTTCTTTTCCGGAAGCCAATCTCCAAAGAACTCCAGGGTTAAGCGTGTTTGTCCTGGAGCAATTTGGGATAGGTGACCGACCAGGAAATTCTTCTCGGTTGCCTAGGAGAGGCCGGATGTTACACAACTCCATTCCCAGCCTCCTCCTCTCCCTAGGTATGTGGTATCCAAAACCCTAACAGTTGCCCCCGACTTCAATGCAAATGAACGAGTTTATGTTCTCGACCGAAGACTTTGGAATAGCGGTTGTCGTGCTCACTTGACCGTTCTTGGTGAGATCAGAGATAGCGCTAGATTCCCCTTATCAGCCTCCACAGGCACTATATTGGGTTTGTCTAGGTCCCAATATCGACCGAGAAGGTACGGAGCATGCGACTAAGTCTCCCGTCTTGCTGTAATCGGGAATTTGGATGGAAGTCAAGAAATTCCATCTCGGTGGGTATACCATCGCTTCATTCCATATTCCTTGTCGAAATCCAACAACCGTTCTCGGGTAATTGAGAGGGTGTAGAGTTTGTGACAAAGCCATCAACTTAAATGAACTCATGTTGTCATCCGCGACTTCTCTTGTCAACATTTGTTGTACTTGCTTAGTCGATCCCGGTCTAAGACCGTATAGACATGGAGTCCTCGACAACGTTGAATGGAACTTTTCTGAAATCAATACTCAGAATAGAATATTAAATAGAAATAGCCCCCGAGCGAACCCTCAAAGGGTAACATGTTATAATATGTATGGAAAATTAAAAATAAATTGCATCTGCGTGTGACAATAAAAGAGTATGCTCGCTAGGGTTGCCCTCAGCGAATGGAGTTTGGTACTCTTCCTAGCCCCCAACTGTTTTTATGGAAAAACTATTTTCCACAAAGGTAGCTTAAATCTTATAACAAACCATGCTGAAGTTGACAAATCCTAGTCCCTAGCTGTGAAGTTGAAAAAGTTAATTTCCGATTACACGGCTTGGTTAATACGCATCCATTGAGCACTCTTACATGACCAGGTTTGACATGGTCATTTGGCTCTCAGCATTTCACAAAGCCTTATCTGCTCTGGGTGTCCCCAGGCCGAAATTCCTTTAGGTTTCTCAGAAGCTTATCAGAATAGCGTAAAGAAACGATAGGAACGCCTTCAAGACAAGGCGATATAAGAAAAGGAGATCAACAGATAAATATTGCACACATAAATACTTACAGAATTGACGTTGATGATGAGACAACCACCACACTGGGCAAAGACCAGGTGTACAGTTGTACTCAACAAATCACAGAGGTAGTGGGAGAATCGCTATATCGCTGATTGAAGACCAGTTGTAGTCATAACTCGGCCACTAGAAATTGAGGTGCGAGAACCGCTACGTTGCTGGTCAAGGACCAGTCGTAGTCGTAACTCGACCATTGGAAGTCGTGGTACGAGGATCACTATATTGCTTGGTGGAAGACTAGTCGTAGTTGTACTCCAACCATTAGAAGTCGTGGTGCGAGGATCACTACGTTGCTGGTCGAAGACCAGTCGTAGTCATATCTCGACCATTGGGAGTTGTGGTACGAGGACCGCTACGTTGCTGGTGGAAGACCAGTCGTAGTCATACCTTGACCATTAGAAGTCGTGGTGTGAGGATCGCTACCCAGTCGTAGTCATACCTTGACCATTAGAAGTCGTGGTGCGAGGATCGCTACGTTGCTGGTAGAAGACCAATCGTAGTCGTACCTCGACCATTAAAAGTCGTGGTGCAAGGATCGTTATGTTGCTGGTAGAAGACATGCCGTAGTCGTACCTCGACCATTTGAAGGGAATCCATAGTAATAGATGGACGACATTCTCGTGACCTGCGAGAACTGCCTCCTGATGACGACGAAGACAATGAGGAATTATCGTAGTCGGAGTTTTGGCTCTTGGACCTACTACCTCATCCTCGGGCCCTCTAGAACTCTGGGGACCTCGAGTTTCGTCATCATCGTGTGATGTCGTGATGTTGTTAACCTTGTCCGTTGTCGTCCTGATGTCGTTAGTCCTGGACGTTGTCGTCCTGGTGACAACGCCGATCTAGTCGGTCTTGATTGTTGCTATCACGACAATGTTGATTGTCACGTTAGATGTCGAGAGATTGTTGTAACCGACTGGTTGAGGACCAGGTGTAGGCATATCTCGATCACTTGAAGATGAAAATTTAGGTGGTGAGAGATCGCTACGATCTACTGGTCGAGGATCAGGTGTAGACGTATCTCGATCACCTGAAGATGAATTTTTAGATAGTAAAAGATCTCTACGATCTACTGGTCGAGGACCAGGTGTAGGTGTATCTCGATCACCTAAAGACGAATTTTTAGGTGGTGAGAGATCGCTACGATCTACTGGTCGAGGACCAAGTGTAGGCGTTTCTCGATCACCTGAAGATGAATTTTAGGTGGTGAGAGATCGCTACGATCTACTGGTCGAGGACCAGGTGTAGGCATATCTCGATCACCTATAGGCAACTGATAGGCATACATAAACAAACCGTATTCGTAAAAGCATCTCTTGTTATGCGCGACTCCCCTTATCAATATTTGCCATACTCACTTGGTCGATCCCGGTGTAA